GCTGACAATGAAGTAGCCTTTGAAAGCGAGAAGGGGACTGGCAAAAGGTTTCTGAGTTTCATTTCCAATCACAAAAATCAATATTGTCATTTCTTTTTCTACCCAATGTATGAAAGGAAAATTCTTTTTCCACTCAGGCTTAGCTCATGGGCTCAATACATATCCTTCGTGAAAGAAAGGAGCCTTTTCTTTCTTTCAACTACCTTCCTGGGGTCAGCTGTTCTAAAAGATGAGCTGGAAAAGACCTCCAAACCCTAGAATGGGTATGTGATTGTTAGGCCAGAATTTGAGTGGATGAGTTCAAAATCAGTGGTAAACAGTAAGCTTCATGTTATTTTGATCTAATATCTGGGGACTAACCATTGACACTTCATTTTTACACTATTTTGGCCCTGGTGTGAAATAAGCTGAACAAGATCATCACAGAGCAATGAGGGGGTAAAATGTCCTCTCTAACCAGAAGAAAATCCAAAGGATCCCTACGTTTCTCATGAAGTTTGGCTTTTTTGAATCATTCAGAAAATTCAGTGTCTTTTTAGAATTTAAATTTTTTTGAATATTTTTTTAAATGAATTTTAGTTTGAAAGCTGATCCATATATTCTTTTTCCCATGTGGCTCAACTTATTGTGGTGTTTCAAAGTCATAACTAACCTGGTAAGACCAACTTGCTAAACTTTTTAGTATCCATCAAAAGTGTTAACTTATGTTTATATTCAAGAAATTTTAGATAGTGTTTTAAAACTCATATCAAAGTTTTATAAGACTAAAGTCATAGTAATGCACACAGACTCAGATAGTCTTGACTGTGTATTTCAAAAGTAGGACTTTCAATCTAAATGAGGTTCAAGGTAATGAAAAGGCTAGGGTACTGAAAGTTCAGAATTTCCTCAGTTCCAGTTTGTAGTAATTTGTTATTTGTTGGGAGGCGGCTTACCAAAATGATGGAAATAAAAAACAGGTATTAACCAATGAAAATCAAAAATCCTATTTTTCAAACGTAAGGTTTCGCGAGAGCTGATGGGACAAACGAGAGACCGTGCAGCATTGGGGAATAATACTCACTTGAAGAACCAGCAGAAGAGAGGCCTTCATTTGTATTGCTGTGTTTAAAACTCACCAGCTGTCCATAGAAGTGGTAGCGTGTCAGTACAATCTTCGGCAAGCCGGCCTTTCCAGGCTGGTGTCTAGTGCAACACGCGGGTCGCTTTGATCCGTTTATCTGGCAGTTGGTCCCTGTCGCTTCATCGCCTTCACTCACTTTCTGTTGAATGTGCTACACAAAGTTCTTTATTGCTGGGTACGGAAGTGTGCATTCCAGGGATCTTGAGTGTACGTGTATTTATGTGCGTGTGTCATGTGACATGTGAACAAACTTCAATTTGAAGTGCAGCCATTATGTGGTATCCATGTATGTCGACCATGTGCCATATATCAATTATGGTTACTAGAATGTCTTTTATACTTCTTATGATACTATCAACATACAAACAGAATTTTTTACCCACTTTTTACCCACAAAATACTTATTCTTCTTTAGTCAGGGAGAATTCCTTGCTTTCCTCTCCTTTGTGTTAGCAGTATAATTAAGAAGATGTTACATATGCAAGTCCTTCT